TCTCTCTCTCTCTCTCTCTTTGTTTGCATGTGATGATTTCTTCTCTGCTGGGTTTGAATCTCGTCGTTGATTCTGTGGTTTCTGCTGCTGTTGCCATGGCGTCAGGTCGGGTGTTCTTCACACACACACACACACACACACACACACACACAAAGTCAAGGTTCACCGGCTGAAACCATTCACCAGGACCAGTGCAGCTGCTGTTATCACCCTCGGTCAGTAGGGGGCGTGTGTTTGACTCTCCTGTTTGTGAAGACGTTGTTTTGTTTCTGACACGTCTTCACCCGCTGTGTGTAGTACTGAATACCTGTGTGGGTTTATAATGTAGTACTAATGTAGTACTAATGTAGTACTAATGTAGTACTAATGTAGTACTCCGGCTTATACTGGTCAAGTCAAGGCCCGTGGACCTGGTCTGGCCCACGTGGTCATTTTCTGCGGTCCACCGCAGCTTCACGTGTGTTAATGTGAACTGGATCGGTTCCAGACCCAGTGGCTGAGGTCCAGGTACTGTTCTGTACAAGCACTACGTCAGGTTGGACGTCTCTCCTGGTGTCCTCCTGTCCTCCTGTCTTCCTGTCCTCCTGTTCTCCCTGTCCTCCTGTCCTCCTGTCCTCCTGTCCTCCTGTCCTCCTGTCTCCTCTGCTGCTTCTTCCTCTGTATCACGTCTGAACTGTGTGACTGTTGTGAAGCTGCAGCTCTCAATAATGTAACACTTAATACCCCCCCCCACACACACACACACACACACTCACACACACTCACACACTCACTCACACAGTCTCGGCTGAGTCCCCGCCCCCCCGCTGAGAACCCTTAACAGCTTCTCTGTGTTCTGTTAAACGACAGATGAAAGCTTCAGTGCCGCCCGCCGTCCTCTCTGCCCCCACTGGGGGGCAGGACGAGGAGGAAGGGAGGGGAGAAGGGGGGAGGAAGGGGGGGGGTGCATGAGAATGGAAAATGGTGAGTGTGAAGAGGGAGAGGGGGGAGAGGGGGGAGGAAGAGTCTGGATGGTTCAGGTCAAGACTCACCTTTGACCTTGACCCTTTAGAACCTTTGATTTTCACTAACACCCCCCCACTACCCCCCACTCCCCCCCCCATATCTGCAGTCGTGTTGGGCAGAGAAGCTGTTGCTAAAGCTGAGGTCTGAGGACCCGTGTGTGGACCAGGAGGTTCTGGTCCAGTTTGAAGCTCTGATTCTTTAGTCTTGGACATAAATCTGTAGATAACTCTGTGTGTGTGTGTGATGGTGTGTGTGTGTGTGTGTGTGTGAGAGCGTGAGCTGCAGAGAATAAATAAAGCAGGCGTTTGTTTCCTGAGGCTGTAGACACTGATGTTTGAGCAGAAGAAAAAATAGACCTGTGTGTGTGTGAGTGTGTGTGTGTGTGTGTGTGTGTGGTCGTAGATGTGAGTCCTGAGGTCGTAACGTTTGACGTCCTGTTGATGTTTGAACGTGTTGAAGAAGGTGGTGATGTGGTACAACGTACTGTAGGAAACAGTGGAGCAGAAAGAACAAAAACACCAGGGAGAAAAAAAGACGACGACGTTTGACTGAAATATTGTGATGTTTCAGTCAAACATGTGTATTGGTGTGTATATTGGTGTGTATATTGGTGTGTATTGGTGTGTATTGGTGTGTATTGGTGTGTATTGGTGTGTATTGGTGTGTATTGGTGTGTATTGGTGTGTATTGGTGTGTATTGGTGTGTAAGTGTGTGTGAAGAGGGAGGAGGGGGAGAGGGGGGAGGAAGAGTCTGGATGGTTCAGGTCAAGACTCACCTTTGACCTTGACCCTTTAGAACCTTTGATTTTCACTAACACCCCCCCACTACCCCCCACTCCCCCCCCCATATCTGCAGTCGTGTTGGGCAGAGAAGCTGTTGCTAAAGCTGAGGTCTGAGGACCCGTGTGTGGACCAGGAGGTTCTGGTCCAGTTTGAAGCTCTGATTCATGACCCACCTGAGGGCCGCGACCCAGTCTTTGGGAAACAATGAGAGAGACAGAGACACTGACACTGACCCGGGGACAGTTGGACAGCGGTCGTCTTCTGTCTCTGTCTCAGTCCGACCGTCGTCATAACCAGGATTGTTGTAACTGTTTATTAGAGATGTAACGTCTGATTCATTCTAACTGCAGCCCA